GGGGCAGCCCCATCTCAACCCGTACATTCCTGCTTCATTCCCTTCCTGCCGCAGTTTGTTGATGGCGTACTCCGTGCTGAAAGGGTCAACGAACAAATGAGGAAACCCCAAAATTAGTAAATACATAGGAGAGTAATCCTGTATTTGAAACAAAAACGTGTAACAGCAACTTAAACAATATTTTAACAATAATACAATGCATTGTGTGCATTACACACGCTCACATTTAGGTGCACAGAGCAAGGGAAGAAAGGTTTCTTAAGCTCTTAGCACGCTCAACGGGCAAATTCCACATCCACCACAGTGCGCACAGATAAGCTCTCAGTTTTCTATATACTGCATCTTCAAACATAAAAGGAAAAGCCGAAAATGTAGGCAGAAGGGAAAATAATTGCTTTAGCTATTTAAAAAACAACCAAAGGCTTTGTTCATCCATCCAAGGACTCCCAGTGTCAGTGTAGATATGGTTCCACTGTTTACCTAAAATATCCCCATCTGCTCAACTGACGATGATCTTTATAGCTATTTGTGAAGGAAGCCTCAAAGTACTCCTACAGTGAGGGAACACTGGTTTTATAGAGGAGTAAGTTACGTGGAGAGAAACAGTGGTATTTTTTTCCATATAATCCATAGCAAAACTAAGTTGTTCTACAACCTTTTGGTAACTAACAGCCTTCCAAATGTCAGTTTTTCTCGCTATGCAGCAATATTAAGACTAACTATTCAAGTAGAAAAATAAAACCCCAACTTTTTACTAACCAAATGGGTCCATGGCATCCATTTTTTATGTTGTGCTCAATCAGCGGGGGAGCCACATCTGTGCAGAGGTAATGGTGGGCATCTGCTGTGAGCCTGAAGTATCCGTCTATCAAGGACGCAAACGACAGGGCCTCGTCGTGCGAGGACAGTTTCAATTCCTACAACAGAGAGACATTTTAGTAAAGAACTCTTACAGTTCTATTAAAATATTTCAGGAGTGTTTTAATATCCAGCAATTTTTGCATACTGGTGTACTGGGTTTTCTGTGAGGGGTTTTTGGTTGTGTCTTTGGTAACGGGGGAAGGGCTATGGAGATGGCTCTTTAAGAAGCTACCTGAAAAGCTCCCCCTTTTCCTTTGTCAGCCCCACCTCTGACCAGGGCCAAGCCAATCAGTGCCCCTGCGAATTCATGGATTTAAAGGGGGTGCGGAGCATGCCTCGCTCTCTCTCTGGCACCGGCCC